GTGCGCAGAGGTATGCTAATACAAACTGTACGCTGACAGGCAGGTAGGAAAGCAAATTAAAACTCTCGGACCGAGCGTTTTGATTGGACGAACATTTCTTGATCCTACACCTTCCACAGAATATATAAATACAGACAAATACATTTAGACCACTTAACTTAATGATTGCTATCGGGATGTGAAGAGACTTTCAACCAGCATAACAAAAAATGTTTCTGAAGACAATCACCTATTGCACCTTTAAGTCTTTATTACTATGTCTAGTCAAATTAAAACAAAAATATTACAATATTGCTTCTGTGTTGAAAATCTATTTATTCTGGACTTAAAACAAAATTGGTGTTCGCTGTGCACCATTGTGCAGGTTTTCTACAGTCATTCCTCCCCAGCCGCTGGCATGGCTGTTTATAATTAATGGCTCAAGCTTGTGAGGGAAAGCCAAGAGCTCCTGTTCACTCCCAGGCTGCAGCAGGAGATGTTGAGAGGGGGAGGGGAACGTTCTTGTGTGTTTATGTGACATACAATGAAAGGGAGAAAGTGAGGAGAAAAGGGGGTCATCGAATCTGCCCAGAAGAATTGCCGAAGACTTTTCAGTTCAAGAGAAATATATTACAGGCCAAAGCTCCTGGGGAATCAGTGTTATCCATTTGCCGTGTCACGGGACACACCCCTCCTCTACTCGGAAAAGCCGCACACAGCCCATTACAATCCACTGGCGTTTCTGAACATTCTCCAAACCACAGTCAGGCAAAATGCGTCTCAAAACACAAAGAGCCAGAAGCCATTTGCGCGGCTGCATCACGACACATACTGCACTGTCATCATGCTAAATGAAAGAGATTGAAACGCAAGAAGGGCAGATGGCATTGTACTACACGGTATCGTCAAAAGACTCTTTCTGATTGAAAGCGCTGATACGGCTTTCCGCAGTGATTAGACTTGGGAATCAATAACGTTGTGCTGCTCCAGCCACATATTAAACCCCTGCTAGGATGTCAGAGCCAGTCTGCAGTATTTGAACTGAGAGACGATGGGCAGGCTAGCAGAGAGGGAAGGGTACAGGTCCTGCCTTAAAGTACCATATGATTATCTACATACGCAAAACAGATACTAAAGTATATTCCACAAGACAAGGATCTTAATGTCGTTATTGCACGAGTGAGAACTCGTTCAAACTGTCCTTGATGCTCAAGGAGGAAATATTAAAAGGCAATCATTTCTGTGTGTGTATTTACTACCTTTCAGAAGTTTGGGGTCAATACGTTTTTTTAATGCTTTTATTTAGGAGGGATGCATTAAACTGATCAAAAAATGACTATCTACAAAAAATTCTACCTTTTGAACTTTCTATTCATCAGATAATCCACAGAAATATTAAGCAACTGTTTTCACCAATAATAATAATTATTAACGTTTCTTATGCATAAAATCAGTGTATTAGAATGATTTCTGAAGGATCATGTGACACAGAAGACGAGTAATGGCTGCTGAAAATTCAGCTTTACGATCACAGGAATAAATTATATTTTAAAATAAAAAAGTTATTTTAAATTGTAATATTTCACAATATTACTGTTTCTCATCAAATAAACGAGCCTTATAGAGCATAAAAAATGCTTGTTCTCAAAAACATTAAAAAAAATCACACTGCCAAACTGAGCGGTACTGTACATATATTTTATTTCAATATTTTCTGTTATGTCTAATTATAAAATGCTATTTTTTGATAACCTTTCTCAATATTGTTTTGAAAAAGATAAACATTCAGATTCTGTAAGTGGTATGAGCAGAACTGAATACTGTGGCTCTAAAGGCAACAGGTAAACTGCAGTGTGACAGTGAAGAAGCAGAGCCTCCCTGTGGGTGAGGGAAGATCAGTGTATGTGATGGGGGAAGCTCTTCAGTTTCTCCAACAAAACCAGTTTGATAGAGCTGTAATCCTATCTGCTATTGTCCTACCAAATGCTCTAAGTGAACGCTGAAGACATGATTAAGAGTATAATGGTTCCACAGTCAGCCTTTCAGACTTTGGTGTACATTCATCATGGATGAATGCGATGAATGTGAAGGCGGCTTCCCACTGTGTTTAGTACTGTTCGTTTAACATTATGTAACTTTAAAGGATTTCTGGGCCACATTATGTTTTGCTTTTTTCCTATTGCCAGTACTTTCTATTTATATTATTTTTTCCCCAGCACTATCTACATAAAGTGTAATGGCAGAACGCTTGGAGTCTCTTAAATTTTTCTTTTCACAACTCGACAAAGATCATCATAAACGGATAGTGCACCTAAAAAGGAAAATTCTGTCATTTACTCACCCTCTTGTTGATCCAAGCAATTCTTTCTACTGTGTTACATAAAAGAAGATACAGTAATTTGAAGTATGTTGGGAAACACAACACTTGAGACTACTGACTTCCATTATATGGACAGAGAAAAAAATCTTGTTACACAGAAGAAAGTCAGTCATACAGGTCTGAAACAACATGAGGGTGATTAAATGATAACAGAATTTTAAATTTTTGAGTAAACAATTCCTTTTACTTTTGGCCATACCATCATTACAGGAGCTGTCAAGTCTGAAGGTGCTGAACTAAGGCTGTATCACAAAACTAGTGTGAAAATACTGACATAAATGTGTGAAGACTGTTAAAAAACGGTCACATCTTATTATTCAGGTCTACTACCTGACATGGTGATAAAAAAAGAAATGTTAGCTCAAGTGTAGAAAATAGAATTGGATATCTCCAAAATTATCTAATTTACACTATAATATCTGATCCATCTTGACTGTCTGGAATTAGTTAGTTAAAAAAAAACACAAAATATATTGACCCAAAACAAAACAAAAAAACTAAAATTATTTTATTTCAGCTAGACGAGAAGGCAACACATATCATTTTCATGTGCTATACCTTGATGTACTAAAATAACAAAAACTAAATAAAAAATTAATAAAAACCCTATACACATAAAAAAACTAAGATGACAAAAACACTTTTTAATAATCACTGTAAATAAAATTACTAAAACTGTAACTAAAATGTAAAGAAAATCTAAAAACGAATTCAAAATAATAAAAACTATAATAGCAGTGGTTTCCACAGTAATGGCCGTATACAAATAAGCTCCGCTCATGAACGCTACTTTATCAGATAAAATGAAAACGCCATTGAAACTTTTCTGATGACTGTCAGTTCCCTTCAGAGTTACATTCACATAAAGCAACCGCGCTGTGTTTTGATTTTGAAACGTACAGTGCACATGTTTATTCAACAAAGTCAAACACTGAAGGGGACATCGGAGACAAAATTCACTTTTACATGGTGTTTGCATATAAATGTGTTGTGTGGACACAACCACCCTACAATGACAAAAATCCATTCACTCCTTTTTTTTTTAATTCTCAAAAAACCTAAACAGTCAATTATACCCTCAGCCAGTTATACGCTGTCCGCCATTTTCTTCGCGCTCAAGCAGCTGTAGTTATAGCTGTAGAAATGCAGGTGTTTTGTAGTTGGATTTAAAAGTGAACATAAAGCCCTATTCGCACGGGATTAGTATTATCTGGGGACCTTGTGTGATTTTGAAATTACCCCCCCACATCTGCGTGCGCTGTGTCATTTACATTTCACCAGGTTAAAATAGTATCTCAAGCTTTATGCTTGATTTATTTGTAACACATTAACCTCAAAACCTTTTCAGCTTTCTCTTTCTGCAAGTTGTATGGTGTAGCGATATCACAGCACCCAAAATACTATCAAACACTCCAACGCAGCTCCATTCTTCGTGAAAGATGGATAAAAAGGCACACAGGAAACAAAAACCTCGAATAATGATATACAACCCGCCAAATGCTGGCCAAATCACAGAGATGCCGATTCGCACGGGGCTAATATTATTACAGGACCTTGGTGTTCGGCGAAATATGGTAGGTCATTTGCGGGGGAATTTTTACTTTACAAATTACAGACATGGCCGATTCGCATGGGATTAAGATCACAGACAACCTCCGCAATTATTACAAATGACTGGAGGTCACCAGGTAATACTAATCCCGTGCGAATAGGGTTTAAGAGTCTTAATTTTCTCTCGACATCAGATTCACAGAGGATGGCGGTGAGCAGTAACTTATTATTTAAAGGGACATGCACCGAAATGGCTCGCTGTGAAAAGAGCTGTTTTTGATAAGGTAAAAAGGGTGTAATTTTACATGACCATTGAGAAATTTTAACCAAAATATGTTGCAGACATAAAGAATCATATAAATTTGTGGAAAATGGGCATCCGATGTCCACTTTAAAAAAAACTTGCATTAATATAATTTTACTTCATCTTTGATAAACTGGGGGGAAAAAAAAGAAAAAAGCTTAAGTTGCACAAGTTCTGAGGCTCGTACTCTCTACAGTACACCCTACTTACATAGAAATGCTTTTGGCAATCGTGCCGTACAGATTAAGTACAACTTACTACTTAAGTTCTACTTAGTGCTTCGGGAAGCTGATCAAAGTACATTCAGCACCTTGGACAGCGGCATCACTTCCAAGACTCCGGACTTTCTTTTATGATAATGAGATTACGTCACATCGCAAGACGAATAACCACGCCGACAAGATGGAGAATGGAATTAGCATTTGAGTGTGGGGAGATTGGTTGGCCACTGTGTCAGAGGCTTTTTCCTGCACAATCTATTGCTCAGTATTGATTACTTTAATGCAGTCTACTGGAGAGGCTCTCCCTAGGGTACACTGACCGTCTAATGGGTGGCTGTGGCATAGGGCTGCACTAATAAGGAAACACGCTTATCAGCTTATCCTGTATCCAAATCACTTGAACAATTCACAGAGTCACCTCTGACCTTTTGCTTCCTAGCATGCTGAATTTCAACCAAAGGCTTAAATGAAAAAGAACACACAGCCTATTATAACAGATCATACTGCACAGTGCACATATCTGTAATTAGAATTGTGACACTCTCTCTTTTTCGTCGTGTTACAGTCCAGAAACAGTCTACAGCAGGGGGATATGGATGGGGCAAGACGCCTGGGACGCTTGGCTCGCCTGCTTAGCTGTGTGGCCATCATCGTGGGCTTCCTTAGCATCATAATCTATGTGGTCGTTGCAGGTATGTTGCATTACAAGCATTTATTTCAGCATCTATCCACTATTAAAAATTATAGATGTGACACGCTTTATTATTTTGAGTCAAAATTAATCACGAGTTGTTAAAAAAAACAAAAAAACAATTATAAGCAAAACACTTGTATTTTGAGTGTTAGTGTGTTTTTTTTATCAAATAAAGTCTTAGCTTTCAAATTATGCCAACTTTACCATGAAATTCAAATAATGAATGTTGTTTTGATGCTCTTTAATGTGGTGTGACTTGTTGCTGTAATGTAACATGCTGATTTGCTGCTCAAAAGACATTTCTTTTTATTAACATTGAAAAAAGTTCTATTTAATTTTCCTAAAAACTGATACTTTGATTTTTTATTTTTTTTTGATGAATAGGAAGTTTAAAAGAATAACATTGATTTGAAATAGAAATATTTTGTAACAATGTATCAGTCTTTACTCACATTTCTTATTAATTTAATGCATCATAGCTAAAAGAAACTTAAGTAAAAATTTAATTATTTTTTAAAGTTTGAATAAACACCTTAATTGTCAAAAAAAATAATATCTGAAAATACTTTTAAGAAGATTTTCTTAAAAACAAGTTATGACAGCCACCATTTAAATGATTATATCTTGACAAGCAGAAACATAATTATGTCACAGAAATTCATTAAGAGACTAAATTATTTTCTGGGCCAAAATGATGGAGCGGTTCACATACTATAGTTGATAATATATACTATATTTGATAAGTTGCATGTATTTCCATACTCAGTGTTGCTGTTATGATTCATATGCTCTTTTTTTTCTGCTCTATCCTCAGTAACTGGATAGGAGGCATAGTAAGAACGAGAAACCCATCTACAGCACTATTGCAAACAAAATAAAAACCTCACCCATGATGTAATTAAAATAAGATCTCCCTCTTAACAATAATGCCACATAAGATAAAAATAAATGAGGACTGTAGCAGCAAAATACGATCTGATTAAATAGCAAATATGCATGCGGTAGATTAGCATGCTCAGTGAAAAAACTCCCATATGTTAAAAAGAACAGTAATGGCTTGCATTATGTAATGAGAAACATTGCTGTTGTGGCAAGAACTCGTCTGAGGATGGCACAAAGGACAAGGGGACTTTCTTTTTTTTTTTCCAAAGATCGTCTTTGAAAACATGGCTATGCCCGGCAAGCTGCATTTTAACCTTATATTACTCCTGGTTGATCTTGCATTTGAAAATTATGAACAGAAATATTTGCAACATAACCACTGATGTATGTTTTATAAAAAGATTTATATGTGGAGTTTAAGTGACGGGAATGAACTAGGGATGACAATCTGTTAGATAGAATCCTTGTCAGACTTAACAGAAATGGTCATTGGGGTTGGAGATTTCATTTTTGTTTATTTATTTTGTATGTTTTGATTATTAAAAAAATGACCAAAATGACCACACGCACGCCTGATCCTGTATGTGAATAACTGTCGGCATTTTTCACTACTATGTTTTTTATCTGTAAGAGTAGTGGGTATTTAAAGATGGGAATGTACATCATTGTCCATTGTATGAAATGCTATATTCTTTCAATGGCACAAAGTTCATGGAGAGCTCTGCCTTTAACCACGAGGATCCACTACACATCTCATACTAGCATAGAGAGGTAGGACTGAAATGTTACGCATGCCAGCCCTCTCTTTCCTGACAAAAACTGCTGGAGCATGGACATTCATCTAGAGGCATGCAACGGCCAGCACCATTCTGTGCCAAGACCTTTATATCAGTATGCTAAATAAATCACAGGACTATTCATCTTTACCCTGGGTTCTTTCCTGGACAGAATGCCAGTTTCCCTGTCATAAATCTCCAGACTTATCCCTTATTAATATGAGATATATATCAACATATTTATAGAAATATTTAGGCATGCCGTGGGTGGACAAAACATTTTTTTTATCTTCACCTAGAATGAGCTTGTGTGTAAGGGACTTTGCTTTGACACGTCTCACAGTGTTTATTGCATCTCTGTGATTGCTAATTCTTCAATCTGCTGATATTAATATGAGAAAATTACACAATCGGAGGTACAGATACATAACAGCACTTCTCTGGCTAGTTAGACTGAGTGACAGTTAAGAAGGAAATGTCTATTGACATGCTTCATTCATACTGAATTAAGTATTTGACTGCCCTGTCATAGATTTCAATGCACTTTTACACTTACTTTTCATCAATATTCTCATGTCCTGTCAGTACTTTTGTATCCTAAAAATATACTTTCATGTATAATCTCCTAAAAATAGACTGTTAGTACCTAAACACCTAAGATGACCGTTTCATATATAGGCATTATGCTGTATAATGTACTGTTTTGTGCTTCTCATAACTCTTTTGTTCACTATAAGCGATTATGTTACTGTGTTGTTCATAAAACCCATTATGCCATTATGAATGAGATGCAAAAATGCTGCTATGTGTCTTAAAACTGTGATTTATTATGTACAACTTTGCATTCTTGGTTCACTTGTATATCTGTTTTCTATGTTAGGTTACGGTGTACCTTTGCAAGTGTGAAATAAACATTAACATGCATGGTCCACAACTTGCTTGCGGTTATTGATCGTGTATAGCACAGTAGCAGAGAAACATCAGCAAGCAAATTATTGCATTAGCAAAAAGCGAAATGTTAAGGATACTAACACAAAGAAATACAGCTAGACAACAGCTTTCAAAGCCTTCCTGCCCAAAGCACATATACAAAAGATTTATTTTTCATGTTACTGACTATTGCTGTTGTAAATAATGCATGGCTAAGGAAATGGCACAAGATCTACTGGCTGATTTTGCACTTCCCTGGTTCTCTGATCTCTAAGTAAGGCCCGCACTCCAGGACTCAGCACTAACAGCCTTCTCTCACTCACAGTGACACGAAGTGTTTAAGTACTCACAAATCTAGCCACCAGCTTAAATGAGACTAAAGTGCCATTATCAGTCATCTAGCATCACAATCCGAAATGGTTTTATTTTGCAAGGAGAAGAAACAATGACAAAAACAGAGCTTTTTGTCAGCTGAACCCCAAGGAGCTAAATATTTGCCTGAAGTTGACCATGAGATGTTAAAAGAATTTAAATCTTTCAAAATATAATGAATTGCACATCTTTTTATGCTCATTTTTACATTTTTAAGATATACATATTAAAGGGGTCATATGATGTTGCTAAAAAGAACTTTATGTTGTGTATTTGGTGTAATGAAATGTTTATGCGGTTTAAGGTTCAAAAAACATTATTTTCCACATACTGTACATTATTGTTTCTCCTCTATGCCCCGCCTTTCTGAAACTCGTCGATTTTTTCAAAGCTCATTGGTCTGAAAAGCGAGGTGTGCTCTGATTGGCCAGCTATCCAGTGCGTTGTGATTGGCCACATAGTGATGTAGATATGTGGGGGTGTGTTAGAACGAGCCGTTTTAGGTAGGCGTGGTTGACTCTTAACTTTTATAAAGAATATCTCTTTGGATTTGAGACTTTAGTCTTTGCAACTTTACAGATCTTCTTCATGCACCAAGAGCTTGTAACACTCCAAAGAGAAAGGAAAAATTGAAATCGCATCATATGACCCCTTTAATGTAATTCTGCATCGGCTTTTCTATCACAATCTCACAAATGCGACATATTACTGACCAAGAAACCTTGACATGAATATTTGTGATGTAAAACAATGGTTCTCAATCTGGGGCTGAGGCACACTCAAAATGACTTAAAATGATGATTTAAGATTAAACAAACATTAAAATAAAAAATAAAAAAACAGCTAAAAATCAAGATATTTTATTTTAATTCACTCGCTCAAGTTTTTTCTTCTTCTTTAAAAAGGTGTTGTAAAATCAAAAATACAGAGTTTTAAATATCAGCCTAATTTCAACAGCAGGAAAAGTCATGTAAATTAAAATCTCCATGAGCATTTTTATAATTGATATACATTTTTATGTATATGCATGCCACACTCTAAAATATTTTATCAGGTAGAAATTAGTAAATCATAATCAACTGGAAAAGTCGTTTAAGGGCCTTTGAATATTGTTGTTGACAATGGGAGGCTTTGAAGTAAAAAATGTTGAGAACCACTGATCTAAAACAACCTTTATTGCCAATAGGAAATTCTCAGCCAGCTAGTTAGGTTTTGCATGCACTGGGTGACATTTCCATATTCCTCTCGTGTGGCTTAAAATGTGGTTAATATGATTTACACAAGTGCTGTAGTACGTGTTTTTTGCATCAACATCAATTTTTGGTGCAGTAACACGTACCAATAAATCAATGTCCTCTTTACGGTTTAGTTCAAGAGTAGGGATGGTACCAACAAAGACTGTAAACTAAGAAACATCCTGGTAAGTGTGTTGGGGCAAGGAGCTAAACTCTGCAGGACATTGGCCCTCCAGGAGCAGAACTGGACACTCCTGATGTAGGATGATTGTCACTACAGTTGCCCTGGAATAACTTCAGGTTAAGTGTCTCACTCAAGGGCACAGCGATGACAAAGTAAGATTGTGATCTCTGTCTCCAGTTTCAGACTCACTGACTACTCTGCATCTTTTGGAAAGCCACCCAGGAAACCAAGAATTACATGACCCCCTCACTCACGCATTACTACACAGCTGCAGCTATTGATGAAATTAAGCAGAAAGGGCTTCATTGTTTAGTGCTACATTCAGAAAACCGTTTTGCTAGCAGTCTACTTTAACCTCAACAGAGCAAAGGAATAAAAACCCTAAAATATTCCAGAGCCATCATACCTCAAAATTCATGAATAGCAGAGCAGGTAATGCGTGTGATGTCTCCGTTCTCACCTCAGATCAGGTAGGAGTCCCATCATAAGAACACTAGGAAAGAACAAAATAAGGCAACATACAGAGCAAAATAAAACAATGCGGAGATGACAAAGATTTATTCATTTATTCTCTGGGCTGGTGTAAAGAGAACATGTTTCAGTCAGCAGGGGAAGTGAGGATGCTTCCTGTGGAGTTCTGTGTGTGGCCTATTAGCCACCAATAATACAATACACTCTCTGAAAATATGGCGAGAAACACCTTCTTTGGAGATTTGTGTTGAACCTTTGGTCAATGAGGCTCATTTTATCTGTAATAGACCCTTAGTCCCTCAACATTTGTTCTGCATTTCAGGGCACTTGGTCAATGTATGGACTGGAACAGTAGGAGACTCACGTGACCTTTAGATAATGGACCAACAGGGAACAAAGGAAAAAGGAAGAAAGATTTTTTTTAGTTTCCAACAGCCCAATCTAGTTTATTGTTTTGGGGAAGCTGAGGTCTCCATTGAGTGATTATGTTGATTTTGTGTGAACATCACTCTCTTTATGCATCTATGGAAATACCTCAGGCAAACAAATTCTACAAGTCTAACTATGGCATATAGCTCCAGATGTGAGAGTCTCAGCAGAAATGCTCACTTTTATAGATGCCACATCATTTGTAAACACAAGAGGGATAGAGAAACAGGTGGTAACAATAAGACTTCCAATCCTTCCTTCTCTTTCCTACAACTCTGCTGTGTAGAGTGCTGGTCTTACCTCTACATGCAATCCCTGTGCTAGTTTTTCATTTGCCTGGATCGATGCTTTTCAGCTTGTGTATTCATCATGTTAAAGCTCTAGCCTGCTTCTGTCTCTAACGCTCCAGTTCCATAGGATGCAAGTCAGCAGACAAGTGGGCTGCGAGCGCAGGCTTGTTGGTTTAGCCAGATATTCTTAACTTGAACCTGCTCTCAACTTAAAGACACATCAGTAAAAGCATAAAGCAACAGCACCTTGAAAGAGACATGTCAAGCGCTGCAATGCAAGTGTTTTATTTTTGGACTGCCTTCTCCAGTGTAAAATGTCATTGATGAGAGAGTTTAGAAATATCTAAAAAATAGAAGCTTTAGAGGACGGACCTCTAGTGTTTGACACACATTTTTAATATCCTGTATATGAATAATTTATTAATTCACAAAGTACACAGCATGATGAGAAACCCTCTTACTAAAAGGATCATCAAATTAAAACCCTCTTCCGATTAATAATATACAGGAACAGCACAACGCAAAGTTGATGCTTCACAGCATCGCTCTTGTCTCAAAGCCACTGTGTTATAATATGCTCATTGAAATTTATTCCTGTTAGTAATTTGGTCTCCGGTCCCAGTTCACATCTGAACAGCGCATTGTTTGTAGTACAGAAACAAAAAAAGGCTGTTAGAGCTAAACCCCTTCCGATGCTAAATACAAATAAGGTCCATGCTGGCCACAATCAATCCTGTTACCAGACTAGGCCAAGTGGGCTTCTGGTTTGTGGCCCCAATGGTCCGCCTCTCATTTAGCCTTTCTCAAGGCTTCGCCACTGCTCTGCAGAACACCCCCCAAAAGAAGTCTGTTAGCTCCCCTGCCCGTCAGTGAAATGCATACAGCAGCAGAAGGATGGTGCAGATGCCGATGACTCCTCCTAGAATTAATGAGTCCCGTCTCTTCCTCAAGTTGATCCGCTGAATTAGGTTATTGATGGCAGGGAAACGGTCTGAAGTAGGGGTCAGTTAAGGAAATACAGGGATACAGCAGATTGCATTGCCTCAAATACAGACAGCAAGCATTTTTCATGGCATATTACAATTTAGGCCTTACAATTCTGATGTTGATAGATTACATTTAACAGTGTTAATAAATTATTTATGTTTTTAACTTGGGGAGTGCTCCATGACAAAGGTAATCTAAATGTAAAAAACAGGGGAAATGTGCATATCCACTTACATATCCAAAGTAGGTAGATACCAATAAACCAATATTGCACTGATACATTATGCAGCCCTAATGCATACATGCGCTCCTTGTAGAAATCAAGGATACTGGCCAGGGTGTTGACCCTGCTTTGTATAGACTTCAACAAACCTCGCTGGGAGGTCATGTTCTCCTTGGTTGCCATTGCAATGCTGTGGACAAAAAATAAATAAATAAAAACAGAAGAGTAGATTTATTGGCACTGGCCCATCATAGCACATATGCACTGGAAGTGGTTAAAAAGTGCTCCGATCATTGCGTAAAGGACGCAGCAGCTGTCAGGACTGCAGACGCAGGAAAAAGTCCCTCAAAGACAGCAAATGTCTCTTTCACTAGGTTTGATTTCAGACAGGAAGGCAGAAGCTGCATTAATGTAATGCTCCAGAGACATTAGCCACACACAGCTAGAAACCAAAAGTATGCAGAAAAGTGACCAACCATTACATATCTATTTCCCTTGACACTGCAGAAAGTAAACACCTCATATTTTGGACAAATCAGAGATTTTCCTGCAAAAGCCATTATTTGTCCTAGCTTAAGGCACAGTTCATCCAAAAATGAAAATTCTGTCATCATTTACTCACACTCATGTTATTCCAAACTTATTTATGACTGACTTATTTGTGACTTATTTATAATGTGTAGGGTTGCTTTATAATGGAAAGAACATTACAAAGGTTTGGACCGAAACGAGGGTCAGTAAATTAATTTTTAGGTGAAATATCCCTTTAATGCATTGTAATTCTGTATTGTTGAATGCTGTAATTACACTGTTGGGTAGGTCCGGTCCCACCACTTATTTGTTTTCTTCAGCTGAGTCGTGCTTTCTTGTTCTTAGTGGAGAAGATTAAATTGCTGTGTGACACCATGGCTCACTCCAACTTCAACTCGGCAGGTTTGTGAGTGCAAGCGAAAGCACTGGCACCCATTAAACTCCTGTCTGCCCTACTCTGCGGAACAAAAGCCATTAGATATAGTTCACCACAAGTGCTCAAGCAGACCCCTTCACCTCAATAATAATGAACAGGAGAGCTTATCTATCACACCAACATAAAACAGACCTCAACCAGAATGTGTTTGAGGCAAAACCTGTGAAATCAGAGCAAGACAACAACTTTAAAGCAGTGTGCAATGCACTGACCACTGAGGTGCTAGTTTCTTGATCACTGAGGATAAATTAGGCAGCCAAACCCCACTCACACAAACAAGGCATAAAGCACATTAAACAAGACAGTGCACCCTGAGGGAACAAAAGGTCTCCAGTGTTTTGTACTCCTAGGTGCCCTCGGTCACATACAAGGAGTTATTTTGATGTGAGTTTTTGTGGTGACACCTCTATACACCTCCCTTTATCATCTGTTTAACTTTTGTTTTCAGCCCACACTCCTGAGCATCTGTACACCACGAAATGAAGAACACACAAGCTTAATCGGATCTCCTAAACTTCATATTTGGGTGTGTATTTGAGTGTGTTACCTGCAAGGAGGTATACCTCTTAAAGTATTGCTTGTGACAGATGGAAGACCAATCTGACATCATTAAAAGAGAAAAGTGAGCGCCCACACTCCTCAGAGGTCAGAGCTATGATGAAACATTAAACAATGAGCTCTCATCTTGGTGGCTCCTGGCTGTGGGTGGTAAAAAGGGAAGATAATGATTATAAGCAGCTGATATAGCATAATTTTTTGCTTGAATAAGACTGAGGTGGGATAAAAAGAGCTGCACGGACCAGGAGCCGACTTAATTAAGCACCAGTGCTGGTTGCCAGCTGTGGGGTTCCCCTAGGTGCGGCAGTAAAAGTGTAGGCTGCTCTCATGCCCCAACATAGATCTGCAGGGTGGGAAAGACGGTAGTGCCCAGCAGCACAATATTCACTACTAAAGCACCTCAGGAAAAAAGGCAAAACTGGCAGATTCATGCAAATGACATGCTTTTCTGTTAGTTTCCCTTAAAGGGGTAGTTCACCTAAAATTATTCTGATTCATTGTTTACTCACTCTCATGTTGTTCCATACTTGAATGACTTACTTTCCTCTGCAGAACATATTTTGAAAATGTGTTTTTTTGTTTATACAATTGAAGTCAATGGGGTCTAGTGTTGTTTTGGCCCAGAGTTATTATAATGAACTAAAAACTATTAAAAACATTTTAGTTAATTGAAATAAGCCTGAAATATATAAAATATAAATATTCAGAGAAAAACAAACTAAATGAAAGTTAAAGCACTCAAATTACTAACTGGAAATAAACAATAACTAAAACTAGACTTTGAACCTAAATATTAAAAGGAAAAAAATAAAAATAAATAAATAATAATAATAAAAAGCACAAAAATTTACTAAACATCAAACAATAAAATTAACACTGAAAAATATAAAATAAAAGCAATTTCAAAATATTAATAAATATAATAATATATATATATATATATAAACGATACTTAACACTTTCGGTCCCCTTTGAATTTCACTGTATGTCGAAAAACATTCATTCTTCAAAATTCCACAGAAGAAAGATTTGAAATGACGTGAGGGTTAATAAATGACAGTATTTTCATTTTTGAACTTTAGAGTCTAAATCCACTTGCAGTTCTAAACTAGCAATATCAACTCAATGCAAAAGCAATGGTTCAGTTGTTTGTATCCCTCCATCGACTGAGATCTTCCTCCTTGAGTTCATGACCCTTGGCAGGCTCTTCTTTCAGAAGAGACCAGATATTTAAAAAAAACAAATACAAATGAAAACTGTTGCCATTTATGAGTGTATATCCTGTGTAAGAAGTGTCTGAACTGTTTGTATGAAGTTAGACTCACCTTATTGTGTCATCAATAAGCCGATCTGAGCTGTAAGGAGACAAGAAAGGAAAAAGAAAGGAGTTTAGTCAATGATAACCAGGTGAATTACTGGAGCCCTCTCTCATCTTTGAGAGTCAGGGTGAAGGAATCAATCAATGGCAAACATGCAGTGAATGCTGATTACTTCACATGGACACCAGAATGTTTTTCAACAAATCTGATTTAATATGCATTACAATAAAGGACTACTATCAGCATTGGCTAAAAATATGTGGACAGTCAATGACTACATCCATATGCATTTGCTGAACATTTATTTTCAAAACCAATTTGATGCACCTTTAATAATGGGTGCAGTTGAATTAGCTAAATCTGTTCATCATGCGAGTCCATTTTTTGCCATGTAATGTACATCACATATACAAAACTACTTACAATTCTGCTTTAAAAATTCACACCTTAACAGCAAAATGAGCAAATAAAATCCCATTCGAGACTTAACAGATGATATTGATTGCAAATGGTGTGGGAAACAAATAGATTCACAGATCGTCACTGCAGTTATTGCTCAGAAAAGACAATTCTCTTATGTGTGAATTAAATTATCTTTCAGGAACAATTCTTCAATCTTGCATTACTGTCTATACTGGAATGTCTCATTCCCACACCATGGCCATTTTTCTTTCCGAAAAGGAGATGCAGGCCTGCAGGGTGGGAATGAAATTCTATGCTGGCTCAAAATCACATCCTCCGTCAATTTAGATGACAAAGTCTCAGGCCCAGTGACACCTCAGGGGAAAGAAAGTCCTCAATTCCCAGACAAATGGTTTTCGGTGACAGAGAGCTCCAATTTTGATTACACGAGCAAAAATGAGATTGCAAATTCTTCTTCCGACGCCTGTGAACTCTCTTTCTGTCTGCATGGTTTGTCAGCAGCGTCAAGAGAAAACTGGCACACACAAACAGCAGCTGGGAGAATAGAGTCTAATGGTCCACATGCTGTTCAGCCCCACTACTGCAGAACAGGTCTCTGTCTTCACAGGCACATTAACATGTATCTTGGTTCCTGCTTATAAATGATTTGAAGAAAGGAAAAGTGCAGCAAAACTGATGCGAGAAGCTCTGCTCTGTCAAATGGCTGTCATCTTAAGAGCTTATGGCTTTGATTGATCAAGAAGCCAAAACACTGAATTGGCAAAGACGAAGTATCCAAGTTCTCGACTAGACTAATCATTATAAATTGTCCCAGTGGGCGCTAATGATGCTGATTTTGCAGTTTAGTTTGCACTTAAGCCTCATTAATCTACATCATCGGCATCAGACATACATCCACCTGGTTTCCTACAACAAAAGTTAAATTCAAAGGAAATAAATCAGCTAGTGAGAAAGTTAGTGAGAGGACAATGCAAAAACTTCTAGCAAATATAGTCGGTCTTCTCATTAAGCCTCATCCATTTCGAACTCAACAGCAGGGCTATTAGTTCAATTACATTAGCTAGTATCACAGATGACTGCCAATCTGAAAATTACGGTGATACAATTTAGGTTTGTAAAGCTTTCAGCAAAGGTCGGGTTGCTGGCATACACATCTGGACTACAGGGAGTATTTTATTATGCACATGAAATCCAATTGTTTAATAAATTGTTGATATGGAAGTTTAGAAGGTGTACACTACCATTTAAAAGTTTAGGGTCAATAAGATATATTTATGTTTTTGAAAGTCTTATATGTTCACCAAGGATGCATTCCTTTGATTAAAAAAACACTGTAAAAAAGGTAATATTGTGAAACAGCTTTATAATTTTAAATACTTTTTTATTTTAATCTATTTCACAGCTCTCTGGAATTCTTGATTATAATTGGTCAGTCGTGACATTTCGAGGTGTGTTACTTCCCAATAACAACCATTTGTCAGTAGCAACACTGAATAACATACCGCTCATCTGGGTATCTCGCTCTCTCTTGTTTTTATTTAAAAGCAGCTGCTGCTATCTTGTTATAATTAACAATTGTATTACAAATTAAATTGGAGGACTTCAGTATTAACAGTACTGTAATATTGCTGCTGTGTTTATCTCCTTGCTATGATGATTGCTTTGTACACAATAATGGAATATAAAATAATAAACATTTTCATCTTAAATCAATACCTCTTTTTCCTATAATTATTTATGTGGTTAAAAGCTGTGTAATAAGTGGTATGGCTGTACAGTATTTCTTAAATGTTTGTCTAATTTCAACTTGTTCATTTGTGTTGGCTAAAAGCTGCTTGCTAATGACTGTTTTCTTCACGGAAGCTTTGCGTTCAGTGAGCTAATAACATATTTCGACTCAAATCAATATACCGTGTCCAATTATTTACTTGTGTGGGAAGTAGTGTAATCCTCTTTGTGCCAGGGTCCTGATCACCCTGTTGAAGGTTATTCTGCGATAACAACCAGGTGAATGTACATTATTCCTTACACATTATAAAATGTAGTTATTCCAGTGATGCCATAGCTGAATTTTCAGCAGCATTTACCCTTTTTAGTGTACAGTCTCTTTTTATTTACAGTCTTTAGTGTCACATGATCCTGTGTTTAATATTTTTTGTGGTAACCATGATACATCAGGATTCTTTGATGAAGTTCAAAAGAACAGCATTTATTTGAAATAGAAATCCTGTGTAACATTATAAATGCCTTTACTGTCATCTTTGATAAATGTACAGTCAGTGTATTAGCTAAATAAGAATATTTCTTAAAAAAAAAAAAAAAAAACTTTTGCACGGAAATGTATATTCCAAACACAAATTTAAAGTGATTTACTATTCATCCCAGGAATCATACCCTGAACAGTGTTGTTCGGAAATGACGCTTAACCCACATTTAACCCAAAATTAAATAAACTAATCTAAATTAATCTTCAATCTATTTAACGTTAATTTATGCAAACACATGCAGCACACGACTGGTACTGTACTGACGCACAGCCTTTCAGGGTAAGCCATTTCCTGAGCTGCTTAATGGGTTCAGGCATTATATTGATGTATTTGATATATTTAAATTTATCTTGGAAATGTGCATAAATAACAGTCTTTAACAGTCTAAGCTTTAACACAGACTCCAGTTAAGACCTACAATTCATGAAACAAAAAAATCAATACTTAATTTACTGCTTGGCAAAATATTGCATATTAAAAAAATAGTTGTCTAGCAAATATGTGAATGCGAAAAATATTTTTAAAAAAAATTTTAAACTTCAGATGCAAAAATGATAGTATGTGATGGTATGCACAGTTCATTTCTGTGAAGCAGTTCAAACTGTAAATTTCATGAATGGATTTAAAACTCTAGATTAATTATCCATATTTGTGTCATCACTCAAAAATATTCAAGAAATTCTGCATTTATTAAAAAGCTAAATAAGTTATTGCTGGTTGAAAAATATTATCATTTGTTGAAATGAAGTTCAAACTGAATGCATGGTACTAACTCCAAAACTCAAAATACTAAACTCTAACGTTAAACTAGACTTTTGTCTAAACTAAACAAAACCAGTCATAAGGGTCAATTTCTCGAAATTGAGATTTATGCATCATCTGAAAGCTGAATAAATAATCTTTCCATTGATGTATGGTTTGTTAGGATAGGACAATATTTGGCCAAGATACAACAATTTGAAAATCTGGAATCTGACGGTGCAAAAAAATCTAAATATTGAGAAAATC